TTGGTTATAACACAAACCACGTGACAAAATATGCAAATTATCTCCTGTACCAGCCTGAATATAGACAATTCGGTACTCATATGACTGCTATCACAATATTGCTACTCGGCTCGTATCAGCATGGAATGTGTGCATAATGTCGATTCGTACATAATTATGCTGTAACCGTAGGCCCTATATGTTATTAATTTTACTATTCAATCATTATCGCGAATTTAATCGCGTTTTAAATTTTTACAGTTTGAAAAAATATCGAGTAGTTGTGTTAATATATAGTTTGCCACACTCTTGAGTGTCTGTATAGGTAGTCAGTTTAGAATTGCGATGTACTAGTAACTATATTAGATAATTTTATGTGCTTGCACTCAAGCGTGTACGTGCACGTTGGCACCTATGTGTTGGGGGTACGTTCTCTCGTGCATTCGGGCTTGAGGACGTGAGTGTGTTCGTGAGCTGGTGGGCGTGAGTACGTTTCGTGCGTGTCTGTGCACGTGCGCGTGTATGTGTGCGTGCGTGTGTGTTTGCGTGTACGTGCGTGCGTACGTGTGTGCGCGCGTTTTTCTGCGTGTCTGTGTAATAAAGTCCTGCTCGTATATAAATGTTGAAAATGTCCCATTTTCTCGCCTGGTAATGTATCTAGTAACACCGTGTCGTAACAAGTTTAATAGTTAGAAGTAGAATCATCGCGTTTAGGGTGTAATAAATTTCTTCAATTTAGTAGATATAGTGAAGCGCATGTAGTGAGTGCATCATAATTCACTGCGGAATATGTTTCACGTATGATCACTCATATGCCCACGCGTAATTACCAAATTGTAGATGGTTAGATACGTTATAACATCGCAATATTCTGATAACAACGAGGCATGAATAAATCTCAGATTAAGCTCGAGAGAAAAATCGACTACGCGTGGGCAGGAGGGCAGAAATCTTTTTGATATTTGCTTTTTGGCGCCTATTGAGCCGATGTGGGACCTAGGGCGGCAACGAAGTGCCCCATCTCTTCTCGTTCCTCCAACCCCGTCTATTCCTCCAGCCCTACTTGTTTCGCCAGACAATCACACGAATTTCGCTTGTCACCGCACTTATATATAGCAATTGTAGTTAGGATTGACTCCCTGTCAGAGCATATAACTGCATGGTGTTTCCACTGGACGAATAAATGTATGCATTTTCTCCACACGTAAAATTGCTATGCGTCATCTTGTTCCTTTTTTTGCCGTTGAGCGAGAGAATATGCGTGTGTGCATGAGTCGCAGATGTATGAAAGAAAGTCTCGCTCTGTGAGGAGAGACGAAGAAGTGATTACTCATTGATAACATTTCATATAGGGCTGCGGGAAAAATGCGTCTAGTGGTGACCTCTGGCGAGCACATTCTCGACGAAATATTGCCTGAGCTTTAGAAAGTTCGTAGGTGCCTGCATACACGTGCGCGCGTTCGTAGCAGAATAACACATAGTAAGGTTGTTTTTTTTCTATTATCGCCACAGCCAGCATTTGCTTTCAAATCTATTAAGCGACAATTGTTTATACAGATGTGTCGAGATATCTACGTGCCGAGAAAGCACTTATCGACTATGTGTAGGTCCATATAATATAAGCTTCCGTGCGGTTTTTTATCCTCGGGTTTTACCGTTTTGTGTAGTTATTTATTTCTACAAGGATATTATATGGCGTGCTGACCCTCTGCATCGATGTTGGCTTCATAACTGAAACCAGCAACGCCGTGATTCACGAGAAACTCAAGACAAGAGTGATGTTTAGTCATGCCGGCACGTGGCGCCGCCGATAGTGATAGTGGATGAGGATGCTTCAAAGGAATTTGGAATGTTGCTGATGGGGGGGAAACGAGGTTCCCGGATGTACAGCAAGGCGCGATGGCGGAGGTCTCCGATTGCATATCGGCAACTGAGCTAAAACTCTTTCAAACTTTTCGGTTTACGCTTCATGAAACAGTCGTATATTTGCAAAGTGATAATTAACACATACGGATATGGATACATTAGGTAAGTCCAGTTGTGAGATATGTGAGAGGCGTATGATCTAGTTGAGCTTCAGGTTTCACATGGAAAACTTCTCATTTTAGATTTTACATGTATAGCCTAGCCCCTACGTACGTACAAACTACAACTAACTACATTTTACAAGAAATCATATAGGCCTAGTGATATACGAATCGATTAGTGAATAATTCGATAATAATTTTTTTTGCTGTTTTATATGAGTATATGAGTCATCGATATAATGTAAGGACTAAGGGTCCAGACACCAAAGAAACGAATTTATTTCACATTTATCTGTAGCAAAAGAGAGTGTATAACCACAGCCCCTTGGAGGCTCAAGTTTCAAGAAGAGTATAAAGTGAAGCGGTATACCGCGGTCAGGCCCCATAGCCAGGTGGGGTTCAGGGGGTTCGAGAACCCCCCCCCCCAAGCCCCCTCCCCCAAGCCAAAAATTTTTTTTTTTGAAAATTTGCAAGAAATTTCACCTCAGGTCGCCTCCATTTTAGTGTAATAATTGCAAAATCTCCATCGTGCGGAGGCGTGAACAGTGAACCACCCTTATCCCACACCCTCCCCCCCGCTCGGTCGCTTGGCTCCCTCGCCTGGTCGCTTCGCGCCCGAGCAGGGGCGTGTACAGGGGGGGTCCAGGGAGTCCGGACCCCCCCTTGCTCGCGCAGAAAACGCATCTGAGGGGGTGTGATTTTAAAAATTTTAATCACCCAGACCCCCCCTTCGCGTGCTCGCAACTTTGTGTTATGGTTAGACCCACCTGGTACAAATCCTGTACACGCCCCTGTCGAGCAAATTACAAACATTGAAAAACGAACCCCCCCCCCAATATAAAGCTGGCTACGGGCCTGCTGCGGTAACCGCTTCGCTCTTATACTCTTCTTAAAACTTGAGCCACCAAGGGCCTGTGGTATATAACGTACGTGTAAGGAATACACCCAGTTTTGTTGGCGGTAACGTTGGGGGGGTGCGATTGCTGATTCACGTAAAATCACTATATCCGCATTGCATCGCGTGTACGTGTACATCGGCATGAATGGAAAAACAAAAATTACTTTTAGATCTCAATCACAGATTCGTCTCTCTCCACTCACTGCCAGCCAGAATTGCACGAACCCGTGCGTTTACACAATTAAATCAGTGGCAGTGCTTTAATTAAAACATCAACATTGACAATCATGCAGTACTTCCTCGCTGTAGGTAACTCATGTAGAATTTACTGTAGAACACTCACTGGAGCTCATAGGGTCTATGTCCCCCAGGGTACTGCCGGAACGTAGCCTGGGTACGGTCCGGTATACCGGAACATACCCTGGTAATATCTCATATGGTTAGGGTTAGGATTAGGGTTAGGGAGTAGGCGTAGGTGAATTCCTAGACTCGTTAGTGGAGTAGGCGAGGTACGGTCTGGCATATTAGATAGTACCAGATAGTAGATATTAGGTAGACGTTCCGGCAGTACCCTGGGGGACATAGACCCTCTTAGCCTCACTGGAGGGCCCCAGTGGAAAGCAGACAAATCTTGTAAGAATGTAGCTCATGGCCCTGCATATTTGACGATACACATACACGTGCATGTATAATGATGTCATCAGGCTGATGTCATATATTCATAATGGAGAGAAAAAAAAGAACAATACCGTTAGCCATGAATTGCAATATTGTGAACCAAATTCAACCAATCCAGCAGCTGTAAATAAACTCCCTCGACTCTTTTTGTGTGTAGTCAACAGTGATGAATTAAATAGCATACATTTAGAGTCAGGGAGCAAAATAAAAAGACAGATGATGCTAATAATAATAGAGGCAGTAATTGTTCTGCTGGGGAATACCTATAGGGGGTGGAGCCTGGTGGGTGTGTGGTGTAGTGTGGTATATCCTATTAGGCCTAAAAAAAAATATGTGTTTCCGAGAACCCGACCCTACCTAGCAAATAGGGGCCGACCCTTTGTTTTCCTCCATTTTCCAAAAAAAAAATAAAAATTTATCAAAAAATTAAAAAATTAAAAAAAATCAATCATCAATTCTCAAAAATCAATTATCAATCAAAAAATAAATCAAACTCCTAGAATATGGTACTCACCTCACCTCTGAACACTTGACATTTTCGGTTTTTTTTATTAAATTTTTTTATTTTTTTAGGCCTTATGTATAAGTCCTTCTGCTAAATAAGAAATGGTGATTGGGAGCACATGCACCTATGGTGAATGGTAGGTAGTTCGTTTTCATGCTCCGATTGCATCAAAGAGCACCATTTCACTGCCAACTTCAAAAAAATATACTCGGCTATTTCGAGAGTAATAAAAGATTTCACAAGTTTTTTTACCCACTATACCCCCATACAACACATGTATAGTTATTGTGTTAGACACTCCCCTTTCTATATGCCTGAAATTCCACTGCCATCACGCATATTTGCCGCTTTAGTTAGCCAATGATAATTAGGCGAAACAAATTATATATATTTTATTAAATTTATTGTCAAACTTTTGTGGTTTTTTGTTAAAAAAGGATCGTAAGTAGTTTATCTGATTTTACCAGTAGCAAAGTGTAAAAAACATTTATATATTTTTTGCCAACTCTTTGTTTTTTGCTTTCATCAACCCCATTTTTTTCAAATAGCAAAAAATTGATTAAACTATTATACCTAGAGGTATACCAGTAGCTACTCTTGTACCTTATCCCTTGCAGTCTCATTATCCCAAACACAGTGTCCTAGTCATTTCATTTGATCCGATGAAGCTACTTGCAGGAAACCAAACATCAGATCGATAAAATTATCGTTATTAGTGTGCAGTATAACAAATAGCAAGATACTTGAAGAAAGTGACAGTCTGGATAATATGCAGGGCTCGAATTAAGCGACGAGAAGGGCAAGGCAATTTTTTTAGGGCATGTGAGAAATCGCCTTGAATTTTCTCTAAAATGGAAGGGCACAGAGGCAATTTTAAAAGGCACCAAGGCAACTCTCAAAATTTGAGAAGGGCACCAAGGCACTTTTGTAAAATAAAGGAAAACTCATAACAAATTAGTAGTATAGTACATCAACATCGT